ACATCCTAGTCCTCTAAATAATCAGCAATAAGCTAAATTTAGTTTGAGGATTTGAGAAGAAACAGGCCAAGGCCCAACCTCCACAACCAGGCCCCACACTGCATCTCATCCGTATATTCATCTGAGACCCCTCCAGTTAAAATTAGCTCAGCTAATCCTCCCTGGCTAGCTGCCATCTACCAAGCAGGAATCATAAAAATAAAGTCATAAAGAGAGAATTCCAACAAATGGGAAAGTCGATAGGCCTCAAATGTTTTTTAAGTGACACACGGATACTAAAATGGCTTCCCCTGAAATATAAGAAAGCACCTCAATATATGAATATTAAAGGACATTTTTATATAATTTAGATAATGGCCTATTAAAAACAGTTCAAAAAAGTTCCTTTAATATTACAGTATAAGCACATAACATGTCCTTAGCAAGCTAGATAACAATAGTTCCTGAACCATTTATAAATTCCAAATCATGTAGAGAGATTATCCTGTAACTCTCAGAACTTTTAAAAAAGCTAAATCCCAAATGACACTTACTGACAAACCTGGCAAAAAGTCACAGCTGCTGAGGACCCCTAGCACCTCCAACTATTATGCAGAGTCCCTTCTCAACACCGCTAGTACTCACATTTATTTAGAGTAACTGGGGGCCCTGCAACAACCCCTGGGGTGGAGAAAACCAGCAAATGGGAAGTAATTTTCAGGCAGGCAGAAGGTGACCTGAGGGCAGAACACAACAGCTAGGGAATTAGGGCTTATCTTCAGGAGAGTCTTCCTATAAGAAAGATACTTAAGTGCCAGAGGAACACAGACTTGAGAGATGGCCAAATAAAGTTGAACCTTCTTTCAGCCAAGGAGTGTATACTGAAAATACTCCTGCCTAAGCATTTTCATTAACTGAACATTTCTACCTAATGACAGGTCAAAGTGCTTGAGAATGGAGATGCCCAGCCTTCCTGCAAAGCACATTGCCTCGATCTGGGAGAAGATCGAGTATAGAAGGGCAGAAGGGAGAAGCCAAGTATAGAAACCCCAAGTCCTGACCAGGCATTCAAAAACCCGTGTACACAACACGCAGTTATAATACCTAGATGTTCTGAATTTCAAGTGCCCACTATAAGGGATAGACATGTAAACGCTCAAAATATTTTTGTTGACTCTACTGAAACAAAAACTGTCATCAACTATGTATTTATATCACAATTCGAACTTCTCCTCTCCCACTCCTGCACTTTTTTTTTTTTTAAATAGATCAACTCCCAAGTCTTGGGGACCTAAACACCAAACTTAGAATAGGAAAATAAAGAACAGTGATACCTGCTTTGTCTCTATTTATTGCTGTTGATGACATAAGGTTGTATTTATGGTGGCGATGCTATCTGAATGGCCACCATCATTTCAAGAAAGAAAAGCAAAACTCACTGGCCATCTATTTTATGACTAGGACCTCCATATAATTCATCTCATTTCGGGTTCTCAATAACCCTGTGGCAAAGTATTAATACCCAATGTTTATATAAGTAGAAACTGAGCCTCAGAAAATTTATGTATCTAAGATCACCTGTCAGGAGAATTCAAACCTAAATCTAAACCCTTCTATCTTTCACAACATTTATGTAATCTAAGTGGTGTTATTAAAAAAAAACTGTAACTGAAAATAAAAAATGTATACAATCCTACTAAAAAGTACATGGAAAATGCTGAGTTTCTGATGTCATCCATGACAAATTCTTTTAGAGCATCCATCACTTCAAGACACTATTTCCCATAGGGATATAATATTATCTTTGCCCACAGGGAACTGACAGTCTAGTTAGAGAAAAAAGCCATCTGGGTAGGTTTTTAATGTAAGAGGCAACAAAAAGTACTGGAAATGACAAGGGTTTTAGAAACATTTATATAGTAATTTGAATGCTTACTAGTTGTGAACTTTGGACAGGCTCCTTAAATTTCCTCAGCTGTAAGGTCATAATTAAAATCTACTTCTTAGGAGCTCTTGTGAAGCTTAAATGAGACAACAGGTGAAAACAGTTAATTCTATCTCTCTCCTATGTCACGAGCTAAGTGTCAATGAGTGGAAATATCAGTAAGTGATATAGCAAAGATCAATTTGATCTGGTACAAAAAAATTCAAAGACAAAAATCCCAGTCCTTACACTTGAAAACTTATCTGTGGAGACAGCTGAGTTAATAGCCAATTAGGTTTATCATTTGTAACAGCAGCAAAGTTAATTAAACACATAGAGTGTTTATACTTAAAGTACAAAATTTAAACAATAATGAATGGAACACAAATCATGTTAAATTTGGGGGGGGGGGAGAGGTATCATTTTCTGGTGCCAAACTGCTAATTTAAAGGGAAAACTACCATTTAAACCAAAAGTGGATGGCAACTAAATGCAATGTTGGGTTGAATCATGGAACAGTAGCCTGACTCTTCAGTCAACACTGATGTACCAATGGTAATTCCTTAGTTTTGACAAATGTGTTACTTTCCATAAATCTAAAAGTATCCCAAGATAAAAAGCAGATGACAAGGGAAAGGAATATACATAGCAACAATTAGGTATTGCCACTTGATTTTGGGTTTCCTGAAGATAGTTAGCCATGAATAGCAAAGGCTTTGAAATCAGTCAACACACACCATCCCAGCAAGCTACTCTAAGCATAACTACTAGGAATACCTGAAGTGTAATATTCTTAACGTTTAAAGAAAAGTGACTTGTCCACTTTTTCCTAGCATACTCTTGCAAAAAGCAGCTTTCTGGTAATTTTGCTGTTGCTGTTACAAAACCAGCAAATTAAGTTACCTCTGTTTTTGCATTCTTGACTAAGACATTTATTCAATCAGAATATAAACAGCCTCTCTCACCACATACATAAATTTGAAAGTCTAATAACAAGTGACATTTCTGAGCTTAGTGCTAAAGGCAAGCATAACTGTCTCATCTGCTTCCATAAATAAGGCAGACAGTCAAATACTCTTAATCTATTATACAAAACTCAAAGAAGAGTTAATAAAATGATATAAAAGTTACTAGGGCATTTTTATTCCCAGGGTCAAATAATGGCCGTAACTGACAATTTGCTTTTTAAAGCTCATCCACTGGGAGTCACATTAAGTGGTTGTGAACTTTCACTACCTGTGTGTTCAGCAAGACAGCTGAAGCTTTTAAACTCTGAAGTATGCAAGAAAAGAATTTACTTGCATACCAGAATGCAAATCCTATGCTAAAAACTAGCGACAGGTTTAAGGTATCACCAATGTCAATGTGTACAAACTACACACAAACACACACACACATTCAAACATACAAGCAATGTTAATTAACACTTAGTTCAGAGGCATTCACTAACCCTTTTAAAATACGCATGGAGAATTTAAAGGGCAATTTTCAAATTTCAAGGAAACCTTAATAATCTTTCCAAATTTCAAAGAAGGAAAAAATAAACAGCAATGCAGCAAAGTCATTTCTCCTGCTGAAATGACCTCCAGCTTCTATGAGCTACTCCCGGTTTCGCAATAACTGAATCTGAGACTCCAACCACGTACACACAAAACGGAGTAGAAGCAGAGAACACTAAAGCTTCCCCAACAGTCCTGGCAAAACCCACCTCCGTTCCCTCGGTCCTCACGGTTCCCCTTCCCTTCCGCGCACACATCTTTACCTTGACTTCCACCAGGAAAAGAGAACAGGGTTAATCAGCAACCAAAATCCTGTTTTATCATCAGTTAACAGACACTAACCTGGAGAGCCAGAGTGCTACTAACCTGATTTCAGGGAGGCAGAACTAAACCCAGCAGAGCACAGGGGTATAAATTATACGAATCCGAAATGCCAAGCCAGCAGCTCAATGCAGCTCAAATGTCAATTTAAGGAAAAGGCTTTTGCAAACAGTATCTCAAATGAACATTTACACTTCCAAACCACCCACCAACCTCCCGACTGCCAGGACCCAAATTCGGCTAAAGCAACCCGGGAGACAAAAAGAAGAGTGTCTTACCTTGTACATATCTCGACATTTTAGGGATTTATTAAAATACTGTGATGTGTATATATTAATTTCTAGAGGAGTTACGCTATAGGGCAGGTATCTCTTCCTCCCCTGCTTTAACAACCGACGTGTTCTTTCTCCCCTTCCTATGTTTAGCCACTTAAGAGACTATTCAAAGCTATTAAAACTGCCTTAAAAAAAAAAAAAAAAAAAAAAAAAAAAAAAAAAAAAAAAAAAAAAAAAAAAAAAAAAAACAGGAAAACCTCCCCCACTTCCAAAGAGAAGAAACTTAGTGAGACTGAGTCTACTTAGAACTCCTGTCTACACTGCGCTCCTGACACAAACCAGGGCCAGCTGGAGACTCCCGGAAAAGGTAAAATCACACGAACTTAAATTTCATCAATGAAAGAGGAGGATCTACAACGGCTATTTCACCGCCCCCCGGGTCCCCACGCCCTCCCGGGTTGGACGACAGCAGACACTGGCCGGCCGCACCCCCCATCCCCTCCCCCTCGCTGCCGTCCAGCCTCCGGCCGGTTCCCCAGGAAACCCCGGTCAACAGCAGCTCGCGCCCCAGCGGGGTTGGGGAGGCGGGCAAGGCCGGCAAAGAGGGGCAACGCAACCGTTTTTACCAGCCCATAAACACCCTGGGACTAGGAGGCGGTAAGAATTCCGCGCGCCCGCCGGCGGGCTGGGGCCTCCAGCTCGCCCCCTTCCAGCAGCGAGGCGAAACCATGTCGTGGCTTTTTCTCGGGAGGGGCCGAAGACCACATCGCCCCTCCCCCCACAGCAAACACTGAGGGGCCTTCCGCGAGGAGAGAACCCGCAGGCAGCCGCGAGCCCAAGGGACTAGAACGCGGGAGGGCCCCGAACCCCAAATTCGGCCTCCGGGGCAACACAGCGGGTGGGGCAGAGGAGCTCTACACATATCCCTGAGGGACGCACACCCGCCCAAAGGGTCGTGGAAAGCCCGTCCCCGCCTCTCTCCAAACCACCACCGAGACCCACCTTCCTCCTCTTCCTTTAGCAGCTGGGAAATTGGGGGCGTTTATGGCGCCCCGGGAAGAAGACTCGCAGGCTGAGAGAATGTCACCTCTGAGACACCCTTGTCTCTCCCCCTCTTCCCTCACACATGCACAACTTGAACTCCTCGCCAGCGGTTGCAGCCCAGCTGCTGACCCCCTGCGTCCACCAGGCTGCGGGCTTCTGACACCCCAAGCCCCCACTTTCTCCCAAACACCTCCCCTCCCCCTCCATTTGGAGCAGCCCCCC